TTCATATTCTTTTAGTTGTAAATTTCTGTATAGATTTAAAATATTACCTATAATGGAATGTTAATTTAGTTCTTTATTTTGTAAGACAACGACGTAACTTCTTGAATCTGAATATATTAACCAGTTTCTTAAACTTTGAGAGGAAATATACTGGAGAGTCAGATGAATTGCATGGTATGGCATTCGGATGCAAATACGAAGCATTTCGAATGTAATTTCTCGGATATTGTGAAGATATGGGTAACAGCAGCACTTGCAACATGGTCGTGTCTTTTAAAGCCATCTGTAAAAATGGAATTAAAGTCACTATATTGTTCTCAGTGTGAACTAAAAATCTGTTGGTAAATGTTAGCAGCAATTTGTGCTTTTGTCAAATTGTTAAAAAATATCAATAGTTTGGAGAGAAATGGCGTTCCACGGAGGTCTTAGTTCATATGCAGGTAAAATAAAATCCTCTAGGTTTAGGTCAGATAGAAGCTTTCTTACTCTCAAATCAAAAGTCGGTATTGCAGAAGGTCTGTTGCTAAATAATATTTCATAAAATGAAGTTATAACATTTGAAAACATGGGATGCATATAATGACCTTTGACATGAAAATAGTATTTCAATGTAAACTTATTTAGTCACTCAGAAAGAGTTGGTTCCATGATATAAAACGTTTAGACTTTTTATAAGTGATGTGCGAAATGCTTCAGTTGCTATACGTATGCTGAAATTATGGATATTTTTAAGATATTTAAAAACAGATTTTCTAGCTGATCCGTAGACAATGCAACCATATATCAGTTTTGATCGATCGGTACACCTGTAAATTTTGAGTATAGCATCTGTATCTGCATCCCAAGAAAAGTTTGTCAAAACTTTAAGTCCACTGGTTTTTCGTAGGTGTTTAATACGAGATGCAAAAGTGAGCTTAGAGTCTAAGATCAGACCAAGAAATTTAGTTCCGTTTTCCCGTCTTAAACGAAAGTTTTTGAGATATAGTTCAAGATCGGGATGGAGCTCTCGTCATCGACAGAAGTCTATACTCGTTGCCTTAGTTGTTGAAAAATTAAAACCATTTAACTCAGCCCATTGGGATAATTTATCAACCCCTTCCTTCTCGCTTCCGTGAAAATAACGGGGTGAGGCTTTGCCCTCTATTTCTCGCTCCCGTGATATTGACGGGCTGGAGTGTTTAGTAGTAACGCGCCAATAAGAATAAAACTAATTCATTTCTTTTGCCCGGAAAACATTTTATTTCTCATTTTACACACCAGATGGCAGTACCACGATATTTTTAAGGTAATTGTAGATAGTTTATTTTAAATTAGATGTCAACACTAATCAAATACGTAATACAAATATAGAAGCCAAAAAATATGATGACCGTTTTCTTCAAAACTAACCGGTTAATAGCGAGCTGCAATTGTCTTTCTATAGTGTGCATACGAGACACTTTACAGGAGACCCGCAGATCATCAACGAATAACCTGCCGTCCACTGCAGTTGGTAATGTAGTAAAAATATCATTTATTTTCATAAGAAATAAGGTTATATTAATGACACTACCTTGAGGAACACCTTCCTCTTGGTTAAAAGTGTGAGATAGTGTTATTCATACTAACGTGAAATGTCCCGTTTAAAGTTTTTAATAAAATAAAACATATTTCCATTAATGTTATAATTTAAAAGACCCCTTAAAATCCCTTATCTCCATGTTCGATCGTATGCTTTCTCGATATATAAAAAAAAAATCGTCACAAGATGTTGCCCTTTTAAAAATACTTCGCGTATATCAGTTTCTAAAAGCATTAAATTGTCAATAGTTGAATTACATTTGCGAAATCCGTTTTATTTCTTAGATAAAATACGAGATTCCAATAAATATATCAACCTTGAGTTTATTATTCTCTCTAGAAGTTAGCAAAGACAACTGGTAAGCAGAGCCTGACAAAGACAGGGGCGAGCGGGGAAGTCGCCCCGGGCCCAGCATCGGAGGTGGGGCCCAAATCGCATTGAAAGTTTATTTTAAGTTTCCTATATAAATGAACTTTTGTTTAAACAAAATATCAGTACAGTGTAAATCTATCTTCATTAATCTATCGTATGAACACAAAAAAATTATAATTCGTAAATTCATGTCTTTTTAGAGCGGAATTCAGATAAATTTCCGCAAATACGATGGACAAATGTAGCCAATCAAAATTCTGTATTTTTACATATTGCAAAATGCGATGTGTTTAAGAAAATACAGCCTTCTGATTGGCTTAAGTGAGCCATCATAAATACGAAAATTAATCTGAATTCCACCCTAATGTCAGCAAAGATATGAATTTTTCACAGCTGGATGACAAAGTTATCAATCAGAAAACTGCATTTGGCATGACGGACATAGAATTGTCAGAAAAACAATAAAATGGACTGAACGATATTTCGTCTAACCATTGGAGGGAAGAGGACTTCATAGCAATTTTAGGTTCTAGTCAATTTTCTTGTCATGTTAGTATAGTGAGGCGAAAAATTTAAATATCTCCATAAAATTCAATTCTTTATTACTGAAGTAGTGAAGCAGAGGGGGCCCCAATTAGGATAAGTCAGGCCCTGCTGGTAAGAGCAATTGGTCGGTAATTAGGGTGTGTGGCGTTCTTATCTGGTTTAGGAATGGCAAATAGATATGATTTTCTCCATATTGATGGAAATAGTCTATTCAGCCAAGCTCTATTAAATACTTTTAAAATTATTTCCAAATGGGTATCAGAGAGGTGATTAAACATATTATGGTGAATTTTGTCAGGCCCTGGAGAAGGTTATTTATATTTATTAATAGCAGATTTTAATTCAGTTATTGTTAGAGGGGAATTATAATCATTATGAGGTTCAAGAGGTGGTACATTTTTTTCAGTTTGAGTTTTGTATTTTTGGAAGGTTTGAGAGTAATTTTCTGTACTAGTGGCTCGGGAAAAGTTTTCGGCTATACTATTTCTTTAATTTCTGTTATTTTCTTTCCATGAGCAGCCCGGCACGAGAAATAGAATGCCATGGTGAGAAGCCATCGGAGCACCAAGGAAAAGGAGAGGGAGGTGAAATTTAAAAAAAATTTACAGCATGATGAATAATGTGCGAATGTGTTCGTTGCAGGAATGTCTCGGTATTTATACTTGGGCTTATTTTTGCCACCTATTATTTCAGATCTTACGATCTCAGAATTAAAATCGTAGAATCTCAGAATTAAATCTGAGATCACAGAATTATTACGATCTTATTTCAGAAAAAATTTAATTTTTAACCAGAATTTTTATTTTATGAAGAGCCAAAGAAAAAAGTTACAACTCGAACCAAAACACTGACCAACTCAAACGTGTCGATCCAAGAGGTCGACGAACAGGTGCAAAGGCGACTGGCAAGCTAAGAATTTCAACGTGGCTCCTTAAAAAGGGAAAGTGTACAAATTGCAAATCGACGTCACAATTTGTCTCAATGTATATGAAATAATTTGTGATATATGACGGGTGAAGTATTATGTTGTTGTTCATTTACGTCGTACTAGAGCTGCACAATGGACTACTGGCGACGGTCTGGGAAACATCCCTGGAGGATGATCCGAAGACATGCCATCACAATTTTGATCCTCTACAGAGGGGATGGCACCTCCGCTTCGGTAGCCCGACGACCTGCACGCGAAGTCGAGCACTTTACAGTAGCACAGTTTAACGAGGACCAATACCGCACACCCTCGGTCCCTACGCAGGCTGATCCAAGTGGTCACCCACCCGCACACTGACCGTAGCCAGTGATGCCTGACTTCGGTGATCTGCTGGGAACCGTGTCTTAACGATCAGTCCACTGCGGGACGTGAAGTATTATGCTTTGAACGTTGTTTAAAAACATCAACAACATGCAGAGGAACATAAAACCAGACCAGGTCGGTAATTGTGCAGACTGCAACACATTAAAAATCTTCACTTATTTAAATTTAAAAAAATTTCAATCTCCAAGACTATAGATGTAAGACCATCAAAACTCAAGGTTACTCCTATGATGCAGCACTCAGTCCCTAACAGGATGCTAAGCCTGGCTTACAATCCGGTTGAAAGAGAAGGGGGTCAAATCACCTTCCTCTCGCCTAGAGTGAAACACAGGCAGAAGAGCATGCAGCCTGCCAACTCCGAAATAAAATTGCCCTCTTGAGAGCCACATTCTTATAAAAGGGCAAACTTACTATATAATCCCCTTTTCCATTTTACGAGGAGCAGCACACGGCAAACATGCTGGTCATCAACAGTCAACATTGCTAGTCTGTTACTTTTGAGAAAACCAGTGTCAGGATTCTGATTCCTCTCCCACGCATTTGATTGACCCCTGACCGAAGGGTCAAAGGGTGAGGGACACGAGAAGTGTCGTTTCACTCAGAATGGGGGTGGAGTGAGGAGAAGTGAAGGACATTTTTTTGTGAGAAAAAGGATTTTGTAATGTAGATTGAATGTGGAGACGGGAGAGACTGGATGCAGTTAGGGAGTAGGTAGCAATAGAGTACATGTACTTGTTGTACTTATGTACGCGTTGATATTTAATTGTAAATATTTAAATAATCAAGAATCTTAACCTAAAATAATATATATGAAAAAAATTCCATGTCATCATTAAGAGTGATTTAATAACTGAGCGAACCGAGGTAAAAACATCTCACAAAAGAGAGATGTCACAACCAGTTAGTTTAAATGAAGATTTTTAAAAAAACTAACAAATCAGAAAAATTGTAAAAAGTATTAAACCAACAATAATATGAAAATCTGAAATCTGAAAATTATAATTAGTGTTTATAGCAAATAAAATATTGCTCCCCAAGTCAATGTATTTATTTGGTAGAAAGTCAGAAACTAAAAACAGAAGAACCATCGCAAGAGAGAAGCAGAAAAATCCTTCGGTCTAGCTCGGAGACCCTGGGTGTGCCATAGCCATCACAAAAGTGTGCCCTGGGGTGGTCAAATTTTTGAAGGAAAAAAAAATTCACAACACATAGTAAAACAGAAATTTATTTTTTAAATAAAATAACATTTCAGTTTTATACAATTGCAGTTTATTTTAAATAAAATGCAAAGCATATATTTTCTTCTCAAAGAAAATACATCTAAATGTTCAATTTATTCTTTCCATAATCCTAATACTTTGTCATTAAATGAAGATAAAAGGAAAAGAATTATCATATATTTCAACAATTTCAAAAAACAATACAAATAGAGACACAAACACAATGAACAAATACATTTGCAAATTTCCTGTATTATGCACACATAACTGAAGAATCTTAAATTATCAACAGTACATTCAAAGAAATTCAAAAATATCATAAGTACATGTTGAGCATGCTGTAAAAGAATCACTTAGTTCAAACATTGCATAATATGCAATTTTTGATGCAAAATATTTTCTTGGCACTAATTGTTTTCAAGGACCACGATTTAAATTGGTACCAAATAATAAATCTAACAAAAAAGCAGAACCAAATTTTTTTTTTAAATATATATTTTAAAATATAAGTTAAATAACATTAAATGCTATCAATCAAATGCCTCTGATTTTGAAGAATTATTGTCTCCATACATTAAATAAATTAAAAATTTATACATGCTTTAAAAAAACTGTTATTGGAAAAAAAAATAAAGAAATTAAAAAGTTAGGCAATTTGGAAATTAGATGAAAAAATATTTGTACCAGATTGTAAGATAGTAGCATATACGGAAAAAAATACACAAAGAAACAAAATATAATTTATCAATAAAAAAAAGAAACAAATAAGTTATGTACACTAGAATAGATCACAAATGAGTAGCGAAATCGAGGCATAATTTTCAACAAAAAAAAAATGTGCAAGCCAAATAATAATTAAACATTAATGAAATTTTGTGTAAGATTCTTAGAAAAATTTCACAAGAAAAAATATATATTGATATATATAAATGCAAATATATTACTACAAAACAAAAGTAATAAAAAAGAGAGAAAATGTTTGTCATAAACCAATAAAATTTCAAGTAAAGAAATACTTTTGAAAATTTAAGTAAATATATAAGAAGTTTTATTTTTCTTTCGGAGCAAATTTTACTCTGCAAACTCAGTAAATCAGTTATTTAATTAATTACTGATCATTGCCTAAACATTAACATCTTAAAGTTAAACATACTTTATTTTGTTATACAAATGCATTAATGTTTTATAATGATAGGAAAATTAATTTTGATTAATTTAAGAAAAGAAAAAAAACTTCACTTATATTAAGATACACAAAAATTGCAGTATACACAAAAGGAAATCGGAAGAATAAGAAATATCAGCTAACGGCTTTAAATTATTACATGTTTAATGGCTCATCTATTCCACACGCTATTATAAAATACTTAAACATTAAAAAACAGGAAAAAATTCTCAAAGTCAAAAAAAACATTGATAAAATGTATGCTCACTTGTTTTGAGAAACATGTATACTAATTACAATAAAAAGAAATATTTTATGAGCAAATCTATATCATACAATATCTGCAACATGTTACAAAATATTTTAAAAGATACATGTATTTACAAAAATATTTACATTTTATAAGTTTTTTTAGTCAACAACTCCTTAAAAGTACATAGCTTAACATCCTACATGCCTTTCACCATAAGAAAACATTTAGCATGGTAATGAAAAAGCCATATAGCATAGATTATCTATACACACACTAGCTACAATCACCTTTCTCAAACTGTGATGAAATTCATTTTTATCACAAAAATATTCTTATCACATTTATAAAAAAAAAAGTTATATATTAATAGCGTAGTAATTTTTTTTCCCAAATTTCACCTGAATAAGACTAGCTACTTTGATTATACTATTGAAAAACTGCAAAAATAAATTAATGTTTTATGACCTTATAAATGTTTGTAGAAAGGTTACCAAGTTATTTCAATATTTATTAGAAACAGTAGATTGGTCTGTTTGCTATTTTTAAACAGGATGATGTTAATAAAATTACATATTATAGGCAAGGCGCTCTTCTGTCACTGGTGTAGCAGTTTCAAGATTTTTTAGCAACTGACTTAACCAGTGCTTAGTTGATTTGTCATCTTTAAGGCAAGTAGCAAATGTGTTATCCTTTAAATTGTCAGGTAGGCATTGGCGCAGAGCCTCTCTTGCCCTAAAAAAATTCAAAGCACACATTGAAAATCACAATTTTAAAAAAAAAATAATAAATTAAATTTGAATAAAAGATAAACTTATGGCACACAAAGGCAAATTTTAAGGTAAGTATTAACTTTTGAACGCTTAGTGTAGTATTTTGATGGATTATTCTTAATTTTCTTTTTTGGTCTAAGATCATATTTTCTCTCAGTAATATTAGAAAATGACTTTGCAATTTTATAGTTTACTGCCTTTTTCAATGTGGTTTCATGCCCATTTAGTATTTAACAATTTTGAGAAGAATTGTGATTTAACGGTTTGCTGTTGAAAAAAGAAAAAAAATTTAAAGTGGCATTAAAAAATTTTTTTTTACTTTTTTCAGAGGAGGGGAAAAGAAAAAAGCATCCTTCTTAAAAATAAAATTTCTTTAGTAATGAAAAATAGAACATGAAAGTTATTTTTGTCCCAAAATAAGCAACAACGAAAAAAAACTTAATAAAAAATCTTTTTATCATATTTGATACAATATATTTATTAACTCATTAATACTCAAATCATACTCAAGTAGAGTATAATTTTGAAAACTTTTGAGCACTAATTTCACAAAATTTAAAGATAACATTGATGATTTTAAGGCATGAAATTATTATTTAAAAACCCCAAATTGTACTTATTCTAATTAAACTAACATAATAACAAATCTAAACACAAAATCAAATTTTGATTAATATACCTAGCTGCATCAAACAAATAGATACAAAATTTATGGGGAAAAAAGTGTTCACTCACCCTGAATTAAGATTTTAAAATTCAAAGTTTGTAATTGTTCTGAGTTAGAATATTTACTAAGTATCTGAGTTCTTTTTAAATAAATAAAAAGTATACCACACAATACTTCTTAAAGTTAAAGAAAATTAGGAAAGAAGATAAAATTTTAGGGCATTTCAAGAAGTAGGAATTATAGGACAAGCACTTTTATTTCCAAAATGAAAATAGTATTTCATTTCTTTATCTTAAATATTGTATCAACTTCAGATGATTGGGAAAAAAGTATTAAATTGAAAATAGTACTTATTTATGAAAAAGAAAACTTCAATGGAAAAAATAAAATGAAGAAATAAAGAATAAAATTAAATAGTAAATTAAAACATTATTTTTGATCAAATAATAAAAACTGAAAAAGTTTAAGAAAATAAAAAAATTTCCATTTGAAAAAAAAGTGTGTTTTATTTAAGAGACATTATAATATTTTGTATTTTTTCAGTAACATTTTATTACTGATATCAAATATTGTGATATCAAACAGAAATAACAAAATAAAAATTTCTGTTTCATTTTACAAATTTTAACTTTTTCTAAAACTCGAGGATGGTGTGAAATTTGAACAAAAAACTTTTAGTTTAAATTTTAACCAAAACTTAATTTATGAATTTAAAAATAAATATTATTGAAACTATAGCTACTGAAATATTTGTAGAGTACAATCAATTAGTTAATAAATAATTAAACAAAAAAAAACACTTTTCTAATTGACAATACAAAATAAGTACTTTTCAGTCACAATGTCATATGAAAAAGTAGACTGTATGCAGTCATTCCAAAAAGTTTTTTTAAAAAATGAAAACAGATTACTGTTCTACACATTAATATTAAAGCACTTTTTAAGATTTGAAAAACTACTGTACCTTGGATTATCCGATAGACGTAAGTAACACCTGATAACATGCTTCAAAAGGCGTGCAGATTGTTCCTTAGATAAAGAGATCACCATCTTACCCTAATATTCCAAAAAGAAAAAATTATAAAACATTAGCACATTTAAAAAAAAAACTGAATTGAATAATATTGATAAAATTGAGGGAGAGAAAAAAATACTGATTGAAAATAAAAACAAGAAACCAACATGCATTATCAAACAAAAATTGGCTATAGAATGACTCAACTTAAATAACAACACTTAGAGATGATTACAAAAAAAAAAACACTTTTTTTAATCTTTGCTTACCATTGACCATACATTTTTATGTTAACAAAATCAGTATCATCTATGCACAATTTTGCTTTTCTAAGACAATATAACAATTTTTTTTAAACAAACTGTAGTTGAGTACAATTTTTATTTTACAATGTAGTTTTCAAACTTGCATTGCTAAAAAAATCTATAAGTGCTGTTAAGAGGACTCTATGCCACAGAAAAAAAACCTCATGGTCAGTTCTCTTTCATTTGCTTAAGTAATTTAAAGTATAGAAAAAGTGAATTCAGGTAAGCAAATATCAAAAAGCAAACAAATTGTGGCATAATTACTCAAAATTATCAGAATTACATAGAACAATTTAAAGATATTACATAATCTTGCAAAAATTTACATTTTAATCATTTGAAGAAAAAAATTTCAGCATTTGAAACTTAATGGTTGACTCAAGGTTTGTCTTACTTTTTTCTCGAAACTGTAAATTTTAAACTGCCGATGGAGGTGAAATGGAATTTGCCATGAAAATTTCCTCCCATGGTATAGGGTCCTCTTAAGTTTAAAGACATTAAATTAAAATTTTCAACAAAAAGTAAAACTTAATAAAATCTATCAAATTATCTATTTCATTACGGAAGATTTGACGTTAGAGAATCAATATTGGGAAACTCGTCTACATTATAATTTACATGTTTTCTGTTTCTATAGTTAAAAGTTTCTCTTTCGTTCACTTATGTAACAAAAAGGGAAGGATCTCGTGAAAGAATACTTAAGATCTAACAAACATCATAAAGAAAAAAATTTTAAATGTTTTTAATAATTTTCTTTTTTAGAAGAGATTCCTTTTTAAATGCACTTTAGCACACTATAGGAACTCAAAACAGTTTAAGACAATAAACAAAACAGATATAAACATACCAGCTTACACTAATAAACACATATAATATAAAATAGTCTTTCTTTTTTAATTATAAACTTTAATTTAAAAATCACATGTAGAAAACTTATTCATGCTGTAGATTTTATTATGAAGGAAATAACAAAGTCACAAATTTGATTATTAATTAGATTTAATATTTAATCAGTTCAGTCAGAACTAATCTTAACATTGAACAATGTGGACTGGTGAGGAACTCATAACATAGTGGCAATCTCATAACAATGTGGAACTCATAACATAGTTTCTGTGTGAAATTGCAAATCAACAAAGCATTAATTATGCAAAAGAAATAAATTTCAAAATTTGACCCGATTTGAAAATTTTAAATTTTGCTATCTATGGGATAGTCAAAAATATGCTAAGGTAATATCTGAATAAAGTCCAATAGTAGTGTTTTAAGCAACTCAAAAAACACCAAATGTTAAACTACATTCTGCTTCTTAGCTATACCCAATTAGAAATGACAGGCTTAAAGCAATATAAGGATAGATTTTTCAAGTTTTTTAGAACATTTTTTGGTGAAAAACACCAGGTTTTCCATCCCATCCAAAGAATAAGATGTTGTAATCAGATCTAAAAAGAATAATTGAAGCTTTTAAAGAATCTATTTGGAAATGATATTAAAGAATTCTTTATATAAAAATGATTCTTCTGAAAAAAGTGTGGCTTATCTCTATTTTGCTCTAAACTCTTCAAATATGTTATCCTTTAATTTAATAGCATAGGACAACTGGACTTTAGTCTAAAAATGTTTCCCTGACCAGCCAACTTACAGATGCAAAGAACATAAAAATATTAGTTATAGGTAAATCACTTACAAGAATCATGGCCACATGAGAGAACCTTTCATATGTCTGACAAATATAATTTAAGCCAGTCTCATCTAATAAGATCTTTTGTAAGATAAATGTTGCTACCTAAACATAAAATAAACAAATATGCTAAAAAAATGGCCATTATATTACATAAAATAGTACAAATTATAATTACAATAATCAGTTTAGTATAAATATAGTTATATTACAAAACATGAAATCATCATTACTCATCTAACCTCGTAAAACCCAGTGTCTAATATATTGGACATTTGATACAATTTGACCACTTAAACAATCTCTTCAAATTAATTTTACAGTTTGTATGCTTTTGCAAAACACTTGAAAGCTTGAGGGAAAATATAATTAAATTGATCCTTGTGGGTCAGAGCTTTTAATTACAATGAAAAATCATAAGAAAGCTACAAAATTCAATCTAAGTAACCTTTAAGAAAATTTTATAGCATATAAATATCTCATTATTTGAGTCTGGAAGATTTTGTTTTATGACTAAAATGTGAAGAAATACTATAAAAATGTTTAAAAATTTTATCAAATAATTTTCAAATACCAATACTTTTTTAATATACATCAAAATACAAAATAACTATAAAAAAAAGTTAATAAAATTTAAATAATTGAGATTCAAACAAATATATTTTATTGCATTTATGAGTTTACTTTCTTATTAACTACATATTTCTAAATAAAAATCACATTTTTGCCATTATTTAAAGTTAGCATCTCAGAAAATTAATCCTGGCTAAATGGTGTTTTAAGTAAAGCTGGAAGTTAATGATAAGTCAAATATATCATAAGCCTAATAAGAATTTCTTTTTTACTTGTATTGCAATTTTTTTTAACTATTTTTTACATTAATAAATTCAATTATAGCTTTAAACAATTTTAAAGAACAAAATTCTTTTTGAAATTTAAGGAAATCATGTATAACTACGTAGAAATAATTATTTAATGTGAATTAAAAACAACCATTTAACAAGTTTATATAAGTTAGTTGCTTTTGTTTTCAGAAAGAAATGGGATAAAAAAAATTTGTTTATTTTAATTATTACTAGTGCAGCTTAGTTTGGCCATTCAGGTTTAAACTTCCGTAAAAAGAAAGCATGTCATGTTATCTATGCAAGAAATATATAATGTTGCAGAGTAAATGAAACCAATAAAAAGTCTTAAAAAGTTTGAAAAGATGCAAAGGAATATAAATGTATGAAATGAATTTTGAAAATAAAGTATCCGCACGATTTAGAACTAGAAGCTGATTTTTTACAAATAGTTTATTTGGGTCGGGATAGCCTGGTTGGTAGGGCACTGGGCCCATGTCCAAGAGTTCATGGGTTTGATCCCTGGTGGGCCGAAGACTCCCCGTGTAGTAAATGGTGACTGATGCACATTAAATCTGTCGAGTCGCTAAGTCCTCCATGTTCCTATAATAAATCAATACTTTTGGGGGTACTGATTCGTGGCTGTTCAACGATTCTTGTCTTCTGGATTGGTTCAAAATTACAAGGCTACAGAGTTGAACATTAGTAGTCGTAAACCAAAAATTGGTTCGGCTGTTCAATGATGGATATAAAATATAAAAAATATAATAGTTTATTTAAAGAAGGAATGAAGAGGTACTGCTATCTAGGGCAAAAGTGCATTCAGATGCAACTTATCATTGAATGTTTTATTAGGTGTATTAAAAATGCTTTTTCCTTCATAAATATTAAACCTCACCAATTCTGAAGCATCATATTCATTAATCACATTTAAACAATGGAATAAATGTAAAATTACATGATTAAAATAAAATATTAAAGTAGAAATAGAAAAAGACGTACCGTTTTCGATAATTCACTACCAGACTCCATAATTCGCAGACAAAGTGGAATTATTTCAGTACTAAGGAGGAAATTAATAACTTCTTGTTCATCAGTCTAAAATAAAATTTAAAAAAAAGTGAATTATGTAGAATGCAAATAATAAATACCATACTTGATATATAAATTTTTAAGAAAAAATTTGTTTCTAGACTATTTCAAGATTAAACTTACGAGACACACAAATCACAATATAGCCATAAATATAAATATAAAAGTCTTGGGAAATAAAATGATATACAAAAACATAAATTTAATTAACACAAGATATAGCTTTCCAAAACTAATTAGTGAATGACCCCCTAACAAATCATATTGAATAATACAAACTGTCAGTACCTGACCTCTATCTTTTTGAATCCATGAATTTAAAGAGGATTTTAATTAGTTTTTATTAATTTTGAAAAGTTAAATATAAAAATGCTTGATGATAAGGGTATTTCAAAATATTTCTAGAAATATAATAAAAAATTAGAAAATAATTTTTAAAAAATGGACTAATGTGATGATAATGGAATGTGGTGGAGTGGATGGAATGGAATGTGATTATAAAAAAAACAGCAACTCATATTTCAAAGGAAATATCTCATGTTAGTTTTAAAGTTATAGCAAATAGTTTTCACAATTAGGTTAAAAATTGCAACATTTACAATACTTGCAATTATGATTAAATATACGATATTGTGACAAAAATGAGCAAAAACTGCCTTTAGACTCTTTTGATAATGATTGGCTACTGGTTTGGGAAACCACTACTTATTATTTCAAGGTACTTCTAATCCGATTTTAGTAGTACCAGACAAATGAACCGCTGTTAATTCAAATTCTGAAACTATGTTTTTATTGATTTGCTCAATAATATGAAAATTTAGCAGTTTCTTGGATAATTAACTGACTTTTAACTATACATAGCAAAATATTATTTTAAGAATTTAGAGTCATCATGCACCTTCGCTTCAAAAACCTTTATAGCACACTCTCGTAATTTCAAAAAGTTACATTTCCTGAACCTAAATTTTGCATTTTTTTATTTAAGGCTTATAGCTTAAGTTAGAAAAATATACAAATGCATGCATCAGACTTAAATAAGTCCCAAAAATATTTTTTGCTACACAATTGACCATGAATTCTAAAAAGCACAACAGTGAAACATTTGTTTCTAATTGTCTTTAACAAAAAAATTGAAATTGGTTTTTCTTGGTTAAAGGGTTAAGAAATAAATTTGATCAAGAAGATTACACAAGAAAAATGGTTATCATACGAACATCTAAAATTAATCAATCTACTTTATCATTATATTTAATAAAATTTTGAAATTTAAAAGTCTGATTAAAAGCTACATAGTTTAAGAGATAAAATTATTATAATTTTAGCGATTTAAATTATTGCGAACAATATATTGACAACTTTTATCTCAATGACCTTGATAAGGTTAACTACAACTACATTACAATATAAAAACAAATATTTAAGTGTCAGAGTCTAAAACCTACTTTAACTAAGGCTCCAATAACTCCTAAGCTGGTTAATCGTAAGTACTCAAATGGTCTTGTTTTGCTAACGGTATGCAGAAATGGGTACAGGTAAAGAGGTGTATTCGCTGGAAAAAAATTTAAAATAATTAAATATCAAAATATAAAAAAATTTTATTTTAAGCTTAAAAAACTAATACCAATCCAGTATAATTTTTATAGTATCATTTGAACTTACCCAAGTAGATTAACAATTATTTTACTTACAAATATACCAGACAAATGTATTTCAAGCATCTCTTAAACTGTAGGGAATGAAAAAAAATGCTGTTAATGTATTAATCTTCATTTTTTTTTCAAAATTTCTTGGATATTAAATTTTCCTTAAGTGTGAACAATCAGATTAAAATATAGAAATAATGAGCACATGCTTGCCAAAGGTGAAGAGCAAAATTAAAAGTTTTCAAATTGTTTCAATACTAAATAGGGAACAGTTCACACCTAATAACTATAGGAAAAAATAATATTTACTGAAATAATTATTTTAAATATATATATATATATACTGCCACAGATATAAGCTGAAATTCTAAAATAATTTCTTGCTCAATTCATGGTAAAATTGACACTTGTGGCTTTTAAATGAAAAACTCATTGGATACCTGTTTATAAAAATGCCAAAGAAATCATAAGATTTTTTAAAAAGCTTGCTACTTAAAATAGATTCCTGATGTAAAATGAAATAATAATGAAAAATAAGATAAAATCTGGGGTTTAATGACGAAATTTCTGATGAACTTTTGGGGTTTAATGACGAAAAAAAGCAAACATCTCTGTTACTATTAGTATATCTTGAGTTAAACAAGGTACTTAATTTATTAAAAATTTCATTTAATTTAAAAATGTTTTATTAATCCCATTTGTCTAAATCCTTTAAAAACTGTACATAAATAAGCAATAAAAAATAAAAATGCTACATCCCACATATTCCATAACAAGAGACACAAAACCAGTTGACAAATTAAGATTTGAGAGAAATAAAAAATTTGATGGCGAAAATATTGCTAAGAGAAGATATTGCTATTTATTTCAGTGAATAAATTCCACTTTCTGTTGCTCATGCATTTGTATAGAATGCTCAAATGTTTCTCTATGTTTAGAATCTCTTCATTTTTGTGGTTGTATCTATTTTATACACTGCAATAAAACTGAAAGTATTGTAAAAATTCCCTTCTTTATATTGCCTTCTTCTTATTATTTTATTAAAAAATATTGACAACGTATCTTTGTGCTAAATGAGTGGCAAAGTGCAACAAATTTATTTAAATTATTTTATAATAGAAGCAGGGAAGACATTTACGTGCTATAGCGCGTAAAATACGCAAAAAATTGAAATCGGACGCAAAAAAATGATCGCTACGCGTCCCGCGGGACGCGTAAATTTTTGAAGAAAGTTTATAAATTTCCCGACTTTTTAATCTTTGATATCGAAACATTTTAATAAAATCGAAAAATTGGGACGCAAAAAATAAATCGGTATGCATCCTCGGTATAAAAAAAAAAAAAAAAACCCTGTCTCCAGAGTTAGACCAACACATGTTAGACACACAGGTGGGAAACCAGTTCTATGACTCAAAATGTTGACCATTATAGCACTTAGAGGAGATATTAGGGTAGAGAGAGCTAGTCTATTGTTTGGGCTCTGAAAACTTGTTCCAAGATGGGGGTTTCCATTTTGGCGAAAAATTCATAGCTGGCGGTCGCATCGTACAGGAATATTTTCAAGAGTACTAAAGATTTTTTCTCTCTTTTATTTTATTTTGAATGCTTTCCCAATTTTATTCGTGATTGTAAAAGATAAGCTTTCAAATAAAAATACATTATAGTATGTGTGCTACATTTAATTATTTACTTTTNTTTTGTTGATAAAAACAAGATTTTTAATTACAGCAGATGTGATTCCACACCAAGAAAAACTTGCAATTGATACCGCACTTCCAAAGAATGAGAATTTATTCAAAAGAAAAAGATTTTATTTTTATTAGTCGATGTCAAATAAATATATTTTTCTCTTTTCTTTTTCTGTTCACTGATATGCATGCAATGCATTTTCCCCACCCCCCTCGTAAATCAAGCAGAAAACGAAATCAGCATGCCACACCCTTGAGTTTGATTGACGGCCTAAAGGAAAAAATAAAACATTCCTCCCTTCCCTGCCTTCAAGGTCACAGAGGAAATGACGTTTCTCTGGGTAAACGGGGAAAAAAATTTTCCCCTTCCTTACATTTTCCTCTACTCAACTTCAAGGATGAGTCCAAATTCCGCTTTTTTCGTTCTAGTTTAAAATGGTGGGAAAATCGAGCAAAATTTTTCCCGGTTTTCTGGATACCGGATAAATGGTTCTCTACTGTATTTGTTTAAAAATTTATGTAAAGGACCCATTTTTTTTCAAAAGGACCCAGTTTTTTAAAAGTCATGGGTCCCAGGGACCCGGGATTTTGAAAGCCTAGTGTCTTCCCTGAGAAGTCATTTCCTAGTTCATTCTTGTAAATAATAGTTAACAGTATTAATTTTCCTGCACACTTTAACACATAATTTTAGCCAATACTGGTTTAGGGAGCAGCCTGGTTTAACGAGGGACTTTCCATAATCATATGACATAAGTTACATCATACGTTTAAATATATGTAATGTAAAAATTGTTCAAACAATAAATATTTGATAGATGGGATACAAAAAGCAGAGGGATAGCAGTAAAAGGATATATGCATTAAAAATATCCAATTTGAATATAGTGACACAAGAATTACCTTGCAAGAAAGCTGATCGTGTTTCTGGATGAGAGGCAACGCATTGCAAAAGAGCTAAAGCATTACAAACTCTGTTAGATTGATGAGCCTAAAATAACAAGAAAAAAAAACTAATGTATAATAATTATATACAATAAAATTCAAATTTTAAAAGTTAAGTTTTTCTTCTTTCAATATTATTTCTTTTCCAATTTTAATCTTTTTATTACCAAAATAAAATAAAAAATATGTCTGTGAAATTTGATTGTTAATCTTGAGCATGCAATTTTTGAATAAAAAGAATAACTAAGTCTACAGCTACTGTGCTTTGTTTTTAATGAGGGGCTTAAATTTTACATTCAAAGCCTAAATCGTCCTCAGAATGTACTTTTACAGGGGTGATTGTGAGCCCAACGCATAAAACCTAAAATTTCTAGAATAAAATCAGTAATGACGCATTTCAAAAAATTTACGTCTTTATAAATTTAAATCATTGATATTTCCAAAACATGAAATTCTAAATTAATTATATGCAGCATAATTTAAATTAATAATTATGTATAAGTTTACTTTTATCTCTAATCACATTTATTATTCTACCAGAAAAAATATTTACAAATGAAAGAGATGCGAAGTATAAATTATAGTTCTAATATTTTTATATAAAACATACAAGAATTTTTATGCATAAATGTGACCAATGATTTCTTGAAGCTTATGGACCTTGGATTTCTGGAAACTTTTGGATTGCAGTTAGCAAAAAATCGGGAAATTCAGATTTTCAGAAGCACAATCATCTCTGATTTTAGGAAAATTATTGAATTATAAAAACATACGACCTACTTATAACCAGCAACTCTCCAGGGACTGAAACAGTTATATATCTTTGATGAACTTTTTATTTTAGACATAGCTCAAAATGTGTAGTAAAGAAAGTAGACATAGCTTTTCAAGAAAGTGGACTTCAGTTTTTTCTCCAGATTTACATCATAATATAATTGACAATTCTTAATTTGTAAAGTTCATTTAAAACTATTTTAATGAACTAAAAATACATCTGATGACAAAAATGGAAAATTATGATCACATACATAATTACCCGTTTTAGAACATGAAATAGTCTTGTAACATGAAGATTAGTTGTTCCAAAAATTTGAATTAGTATAGTTCATTTAAAATGATTTTAATTAAATAAGCAATTTATTAATCACAGAATAAGACTGACGGGTTGTTTACAAAATAGTTTATTTTAAATATTTAGTTACATTTGAAATTACTAAAACAATTTTACTTCTAAACACTATTCTCATTTAAAAAATGTTAATCAAATTACAATTTTAATAACAGTAAGAAATTATTCCAATTGAGAGTTCATAAAAAAAACAATATTTTGAAATAACTAACAGTCATATCTTGAAAACTATCAATAATTAAAAAATAAATGTTATATAAATTTTATTTAATATATTTCCCTTAATTTGTTATTTTTATGGTTTCATTTTTTAACAAGAAATCAGTTAATTTGCAGTTTATGTTACTGTGCAAAGTTCAGCTTTCTTTCCAAAACTATTGTGACAAGTCTGTTATTAGTTAATATTTATTATTAACTAGTTAATATTTATTATTAACTTAAGTTATTAGTTATTCAAATACGCTGTAAGAACTTTGATTTATGATTTAAAAAAACTTTATAAGTGTTGAATCAAAATTAAATTAATATTAAAACTATATTATGACAATATTTTAGAAGCTCTAACTACCTAAACCAATTTGTTATTATAATACATAGCTTTGAATGCATGGCATCCAATTTGAAACAAATGCATAATTGAAATTTAAAGACTAGATAAAATAGAGAATTCAAAAAATACTTTAACTATTAAAACAAAGTTAGAATTAGCAATCCAAAATTTTAATTTAAAATTATGATTTCTTTTTTTTTTTCTCTTGATTTTTAAAATGACAAAATAAATGTAACAGATTTTGTTTAGTCATTCATCAAAAAATAAATAAATATTTAAGCTATATATTTTTATATTAAAATATTCATTTTTAATTCTATATCAATATAAATAAGTTAAGCTAAAAAGAAAAGATTTAAATCTATGTACTCATTGGAATTTTTTTCACAAAATTTCTTTATAGAAAATATGATAATGTCAAAGATACTGTAAGCATATTATGAGAAAAAAAATACTCATTGATAAAAGAAACAGCACAATTCAAATTCTGAGTTATTTAATTTAATAGAATGACACTATATCAGGAAAAAAATATCTGAATTCATCAGCATTTTTTTTTTCTTCTATTTTTGGCATATTAGGGTAATTTCTTCTTAATATAACCTCAAGCTTTAGAAATATGCATTTTCCACCAATGAAATATAATGTAGATTTTAATTCCATACTTTTTCAATCAAAAGGTAGAATTTTAATTAACATTTGTAATTTTTGTGAAAAAAATTCATGTTTATTAATTACTTTCTACAACTATGCAAGTCAATATTAAGACAGCATTAAATGTTTACTTTAATCTGTACTTTCAATTTCAACAATCAAAAGATTTTTAAAAATGAAATTTCAAATGTGTTGGAATTCAACCCACACCAAGAAAGAAAGTAATTTTGTTAACTAAAATTAATTATGCAGCAATTTATTTAAAATAAATTTTAAAACTAAGAAAAGAAAATAAAAGTATCAATAATTTAAAACACTGTTTTTCAACTTTTAAAATCAATATATATATACATAAAAAATCAGTTGATTTAAATTAATGACTTTTTTAAAAAATCATTTTATTTAATTCACGATTTAAATCGTGATTTAGATCAAACAGATTTAAATCAACAAACCCTGGTTTCAAGTTATTCAGTTTTATTTTATACATTCAGTTTTAACTCAATTGACTGAACCAGAGTGGGCGGTTCGTCCAGAAGAAACCTATTTCTTCCAGGAAACTGGAAGAAACTTGTTAAAATGGAAGAAACTAAAAATGACCAAAACACTTGTTTAGCAATATGTATTTATAAGAATAGCTTCAATTTAAACAATCTCAGTGAGAGTTCACTACTGTTATTTTAATTTCTAAAGAAATTTTTCTTTTCAATCATAGTGTTTCAGTTTTCACTTATACAAAAACAGCACATTAAATAGCATGGATATTATTACTATTATTCAAAGAAGATTGTAATTATAAACTGTTTAAAAAATTGTTTTTATAATAGATATTTCTTTTTGAAAAAGAGTTTTTTCATTTTCTTCTATTTGGGTTTTCTTCTATTTGGGTACCTTACTCATAACAAAATTCTAAAGTTAATTACACTTTTCAAACAATTGTTCCTATCAGAAAATATTTATATTTAGATACCCTCTTTCGTTTAGATACCCTCTTGAAGAAAAGTTTTTTCAATTTCCTCCATTTGGGTTGAAAGAAACCTATTTCTTTCAAGTTAGTTTTACTCCACAGTGAATGAAACTTGCTATCCCTTGACTGATCTTTAAAAAATGGCTCTTAATAAAAACAAATTCCTTTAATCTCTGTGATTTGGAATAACGTGTAAAAAATACGCAATTTGCATCAGTCTATATATAGCTTTCAAAATGTTTTTTAAATATTTTCAGCATTTTTTAGCACATTAAAAAAGATAGAAGTGGCACTCATTTTTTTCCTTCAAAAAATTGCACTCTTCCCCAAAAATATTAGCAGCACCTGATTTATAACAAAATTCCAAGGTTAATTACACTTTTCAAACAATTGTTCCTATCATAAAAATTTAAATCTAGATATCCTCTTTCGTTAATTGTGTATTTCCATATGCATAGTTTGTGCTAAAAAAAGGGTTTGTATACTATAATAGTTCATTATACAGATTATCATTATTCTAACAATCAAGCTACATTGTACTTTACAGTAGTATCACTCACTTAAACACAGTTTTACCAAAATGTCAAAAAAAATTAAAATTTAAGAGAACATATAAGGTAAAATAAACAGTCTAAAAATATATTAAATTTAAAAAATAAATAAATATAACTCAGTAGAGTTATTAAGTTTGATTAACAATCATAATTTTATAACAAAAATGCATACATAAGTAAAGGCATCTTAAAACCTCCAATACAAATTTATCTTTTGGCTACTGCGAGAAATTAATTTTGTGAAATTGAAAATAATGTATTTATAAGAGACAAAGAATAGGTCTATACTATTATAAGTACCATACAGATACACAATACATAGAAATACAGATACACAGTCAAATCATGTAGTTGACGTGGTTGTATCGACTATAAAGAAGAGACGAGCAAGACTAAACAAGTACTAATACTAGGTAATTTTGATTTTATTGTATTGCAATTAAGAAATAAGGTCCATAAGGTTAATTTCGGTCCATAAGGTTAATTTCAGTCCATAAGGTTAATTTTATGTATTTGTCATAAATGGAGCCACATTTGTCATAAATAACAATTTCAGCTGAGATAAATAAAGCGTAATTTTAGATTAATTTTTAAAAAAATTTATTATAATAATAAATAGAGTAAATAAAAATTAAAAATCACACCTATAAGATATAAAATTTTTCTCAATTGAATAAAGAGGAAAAACTATTTTAACAAAAAAACTGAGCATAAAATATATTATGTCTCTCAGTCGTGTATGCATAAATATGGCAAAAAGATATACTTTTGTGAAAATTTGACTACTGAAGTGATTTTTCATGTGCAAACATGCAGAAAAAATATAAACAAACAAATATAACTGCCAAATCTAGTTTTTATTATTTCATTTATAGCAGTAATACTTGACTAATTTGTACAAATAACTTACAAGAAACCAAAATTTCTCATGATTATTTATATTATAAGAATAAAATAATTATCCCATTAAGATATTGTTAACTTCAACTGCGCTTATCAATAAAACAAAAAATTACTAACTGTTAAAGAAGGAGGATTTATAGCTGGGTAGATGTTTATAATCTCTTGTAACAGAGCAGTAATTGTACCAAAAGAATGCCATAACATGGGAGCTAATTCAGGAACAGCTTCTCTCTTTTTGCTAAAAAAAAAATTTTTCATTAAAATTTTAAAAAATAATTAATAAGTGACAAAAAATTATAAATGAAGTCAGACATTGATAACTCAATCTTGTTTTAATTAATATGAGTATTTGGCTCAGTTATTGAATTCAGGCTTAAAAAATAATTTGTTAGCTTCTGAACTTCCTAGTGCAGAAATGTGACTATTGTTTATTTGTGTCTATTGTAATAAGGGTACATATCGGTTAGCCTAGCTTAAGTACATTCAACTATTTTTTTTTCTTTTTTATTCATTTATTCTTATTTATTTTATTCATTTATTCTTATTTATTCATTATTTATTTATTATATTTCATTCATTATGGACATTAAAAAAAATTAAATATGATTTAAAAAAATTTAAAAAAACAATTGAATTTACTTGCATTTGGCTAACCGAAAAACATTGTAATAAGCATAAAAACATAATTTTTAATTCAGGTAATATCTTTCGTTAGCACGTCTTACTTAACGATCAATAAAAACTTAACTTTTAAAGTTCACTAAAACTTTTGAAATAAACAGGCTTTAACAATTTATGCTTGCCAATTTATGCTAGTTTAAATATCCTAAATAAATTAATTTTTATACTCCTTACATTCAGCTCAACAATATAAATTATATTCTCACGCAAGTTTTAGAAGGGGGGGGGGACAGAAGTTCAATTTTTCATAATTTTCGCCGTGTATCTTTTTGTTCTCTACCTTAAATCAGAACAACAGAGAACTCATCATTTGAAAATGGTTGCCCATCGATTTCCTTCTAAACCCTACCCAACCATCCAATTATTAAATGTGGTATTTACCTTACATTTACAGCTACTTACAAAGATTTTCAAAGGAGTGGAATTCCTTGGTTTACTGTATTGTTACTGTTCTTTTTTTATAAATATATATCTACAACACATTTAGACTCTGATTTTTTAATAAGTGAGACATAACTGATCGAGACTTAAGTTTTGATCAAATATCCATCTTCAGCTTCATATTTACATACTTTATTTGAAGCCTCTGTTACAAATTTGACACGCCTTTCCACAGCTTTGGAGAAACAGGGAAACTTTGGTATTTCTCTCATGCATTCAGTTTCAGAATTGATGAGTAATTGAATATCATCTTCACATAAGTCTTGCCACATTGGAAGAGAATATGCCACACAAGAATTTTAATTAATGATTTCAAAGTAATCTGAAGATTGAAGTTTATTTTTTGGTAGTTAAAAAGTTTTAAGTCTTTTTCCTTGGGATGGTTTATATAGCTTTTAAGATGCTTCTTATAAACAACAAAAGGTCAACAACAGTTAACGATCTGAATTTGAATAAAAAGGCAGAATCATGATTTGCCAAGTTTTCTGGACAATGTTGCAAGATAATTGCATTTAATATGTTCAATAGATATTCTTAATTGACAGGTTATGTGTTGAATTCTAAAGTAGTTTATTCTAACCCAATGCAGCTGGACTTAAGTGAAAATGATTTTAAATCACACATCAATTCTGATACAATGTGAAATATCATAGTTTCCTTGTCACCCGCATGCTGTGAAAAAGTGTATCAAACTTGTGACGAAGGATTGGATTAAAATCTATGGATATGAAGCTAAAAACTGATATATCCGAACAACATTAAAAATCAAAATCAGTTTTGCCCCATTTTTCCAAAAAATTAAACATTATATGAATAGTGGATACTGAAAAGGAACCTTAACAATACAGCAAGCCAAAAAATTCTGTCCTATTGAAAATCTTAGTTAATAGTTGTAAATATATGAATGACACACAGAATAATTAGATGATTGGATAGGAAAGGTGTGGTTTGGGGAAACTTGTTGTGTAATCACTTTTATGTATCAAATTGTTAGTTTGGTTTCAAAAAAATGCACGGAAAATTTCACATTGAGAATTACTAAAAATTGATAAACTTGTGTTGTTTCTAAAAGATTGCACGAGAGTAAACATTTAAATTATTGATCAAAATATAATTTATTTAGGTTATAAAAACCATCAAACAAGCATAAAAAATTAAGCGTGCTCATTTCTAAAGTTTTGGTTAAATTTTTTAGAAATTTTAAAACAGACATGATTTTTTTTCAAGTTAATTATTTTAAGCATGATGTGCAAATAGTAGATATTAACAGATTTTATGCTGTTTTTATATTTATTACAATAGGCAATTTTTCATCACATAATTGATCAAAAACTATAAATAAAAATATTTTTTATTTCAATCCACTCTATAGAACACTCACTTTCATCAGGGGAATTTATTTCATTGCAATTCAAAAAGAGCATTTTCTTAAGAAAAGCAGCCAATTTTTAGTCAGTTCACTTACAACTGACATTAAAAACAAAGAAAAAAAATGATATACAGGGCATAAAGTAAGAAAATGTTGCCTCTGGTCCATAGAACTAATAACTAAAAGAATACTAGTCTTTATACATTTTCACTACTCTGTTTAATGTTAATGTATCTTGGATATCTTTAATAGAAAAAGTTAAAGAGAATTTTAATGAAAAATAATTATGCAAAGTAAATGTACTCTTCACAAATATATTGAAATATATTATTTTGTCACAAATACACAAATAGTTTGTCTAAAGTAAAAACTGACCTAGCCATTCGTCTAGACCTGTGGCAGTGACTATGACTATGGTCACAAGGTATAACTATTAGGTGGGGGTGGAGTAACTGTTTAGGACAGGTTTTGGCTTGGGTCGGCGAGAGAAAGGGAATTGTTTTCTTCAGTCTATTGTGTTAGCCTTAAAGTGAAGAGAAGTTATATTTCCTGAAATGTGCCAATCTTGTTTCCGTAGCAGGAAATAGCCTCAGACTTTGTGGAAGGGAGTTCTTACCGTAGACAGACTATACCAGCATGAAAGAAGAAATCATAACACCAAAACATACCATGCTTTAACATCAATTGCTAGGCTGAGAGACCGCTAATAATTATTTTACAGCGGTCAAATTTTAGTGGTCCTGGACAAACAGATCACAATTAATTTTGCGCCTTGATATAGATTATAAAAATTAGATTGGAAAATGGATCAAACAAGTTTTATTGATGTATTAACATGAAAATTTAAAAAACTTATTTCTAGATAAATGCTGTATCAATAAAATTCAATCTTCAAATCAGTAATAAAAAATTTTTAAACTTGCATATTTTTGCTATATTAAGTCTTATATTATAACAGGTTCCCTTTAAAGTTTGAATTGAAAAAGAATAGATATTATCATACCAAAAATTTTGAAATAAACCCTAAATAAAAATGTGTAAAATATCACAAAACAAAAATACACACCTGAGTTCAAGAAGAGCATTTTCTCTAGTTTCTGGTCTAGCAAGCTCACTTATCCATTGATATACTTTATCTTGATCTGTTTGAGTCAAATTAGCCAACTGAGGGGCATTCATTAGTCTCTACACATAAAGTATATAAAGTAATTAATGTTCAACTTATTTAGCTACAACAGGCAACAAAAAAAATACTGCAACAGGAAAATTTATAATATATTTTCAGACCAATATCAATTTGAAAGCAACAAAAATGCTATTTTCTATAATCAAAATTTAAATAAATACACTGATTTATTTTTGTATTTAATCTATGGATGGGTGGTCTAATGTAAACAATAACAAGCGTCCTTAAACCGGAAGAAATTTAGAAAATTTCCGGTGTATCCCTCCGCTTATGTTATGACTACAAGGCGATGTGTGAACAAGCCTAATATTCTATGCAGTTTTGTTATTGTAATTTGGGTTCAAATCTAAACATAATTGTACCATTCATAAAAGCTTTCAGAAATGTATTGATTCTCAGAAGTCGTAAGGCCAAAAAAAATTTTGGAAAGTTAATATCTCATTGTGAATAATTCCTAAGGTTTGCCATGTTTTGTATTTTATCCCTTTTTTGGCTACATTTGAATAAAATGTCGCCAAAAATATCTTTAAAAATATCTTTTTAAGATAGCCTAATTAGAAAATATTCTAATGATTATAATATTAATATGATAATGCAGAAGTTTAAAGGCTGAAAGAAAGAACTCGGTACATGTGAAATACTGCAAAAGATATGATGCAATAATATGATGGCGCGTTTTTTCAATCTGCGGCGTAAAAATATATCGGAAGCAGTAACCCGGAAGTCTTGAAAGAGCAATTTTACCACAAGTGCCACCACCCTTAGCTTTACACGATCACCCATCCATAACTATTTGTATCTTAATTTCATAATTATTCAAGATGTACCTAAATCATTTCTGCAAGAAACACCAACTAACAGTTAGCCAAACTTTGAAACCAACAATTAGTTTCATGGGGATTCAAACTTAAGCAATGACTTTGAAACAATAAGTTACATATTTTTAACTAATTTCCTTTTTGTTTGGAAACTTTACCTTTGAACACAATTTTAAAACAGCACGTAACTTTACAATATAGTTAAATTTTTGTTTACTTTTAAGAATAGTATTCTGTATGGGGATATTTCTGTATTGTTCAAGATATTTTTCAATTCTCTTTTAAAAAAACATCTAGAATTCAATGTTTTTAGGGGAGATTTCCGTATCCTGATCTGTGGCAGAATATAAGACAAATCTTGGCAACTGCCGGGCAGAGGCCCAGGAGAAACTAAAAAAAATATCACAGAAAGGGACCAACTCGAAATCTATAACTCGTAGCCACCTCCGAGCAAACATCTACAAGTTTGTTTTTCTTTTAAATTTGCAAGTTTAAAATCTATTTGGCATCTTGGCAATTGTAGTAGGCGCGACAGATCGTGATACAGAAATATCCCCACATCTGCCACATTTCACAATATTAGGTACTTCCCTACTAATGTATACATATTTTTCTTGCTTAACAATTCTTCAAAAATATTATGAGGTCACATCCATCGATGTTTATTTTAATATTTAAAAAAAATAGCTGAAACAAACACATAAAAATAAGGTAATTAGTGGGAAATGTTAATTACTAATCAGTCTGTTTCAAAATTTTATCATTACTTATACAGAGTACTATACCATTGTAGTGCTATTTAAAAAAAAAAAGAACCTTACTTGTTGACTGACAAGGGTATTCATTATTATTTATTTATTCGTACGTGACAATAACTCAATTTAAAATATAGAACACAAAAAAGTCATCAGATTCAACCAAGGATGAAAACTCAGAATAAACTTCAAAACTATTTAAAAATTCAAACAAAACTATTAAGAATTCAAATGGTTTTAAAAATGTTCCCTTTTATTCTTCAACAAAAATAAAATATTATAATCAATTAAACGTAACTCGAGCTTGACGTTGGCGATTATGAAGATCAGTTTCAAAGCATTATTTATTTTTAGAAACTGCACATAGCTTGCATAGTAGAAATTTCATTGAAGGAACGTTAGAACACGCCATCTAGGAATAGTTTTGATTCCATGTTAAAAATATGTGTCATTCTCACTGAGTGTAAATTTTTCGTATCGGTAAAATCACTTGCGAACGGAAATCCCATTTGCAAGTTTTTCACAGTAAAATATTTTCCAACAATCCATGCTCAGTTTTCATTAGCACTAGTCCCACAAAGGTCTGATCGTAAAAACACGGTTAACGCGACTTGAACAATTTTGTCTCTAAATATATGAACTGTATCAAGAACACCTGCAACCAATCAATGCCAGTAATAAAACTGAAATCTAATCAAAACAGACCAAGAACAGTTTCATAGTGGAATAATGAACTAACTGAATTAAGAAAGCTACTTAATTCAAAAAGAAGATTATATCAAAGAAGATTATATCAAAGAAGATTATATCAAAGAACTAACAATACGACTTTAAAAGAGATTTTAGGAAAATTGATTATTTCAACTGTGTTTTAGCAAGTACAGTCTGAGAAGATAACATGTTAGTCTTGGAGGGATTGTTACACAGATATTTTTTAACAACCTAAGACTATTTTGTACAAGATTGCTTCTGGCAAGCGTAAAAATCAAACGACATTAACAACAATACAAACCACAACTGTTAACTATACCTCGGACTTCTCTTCCCATGCTCTGTTCAACTCTTACCATGCTGATTTAAGAACATTAATAGATATCCCCATGAACACTCAAGATGACTTGGATTTTTCTGTGGAATATTTGAAATTTGCTATTGAACGTATGAACCCAAAGAAAGCTCCGAGGGAAGACGGGAGATTTCTAGCAAAATTATTTTTGAAGTTTTTAAGCAGCATCCTAAATTTATTTCAGTAAATACTTTTGATTCTTAAACTGTCTACAAAAAACCTTAAAAATTTCACTGTGCTTACGTAAATTAGTAACACTCTGTCTAGTTGTATAGTTACCTGAATTTCTCTCAAGTAATCTTTTTTCAACACGAGTTTCTTTTTCGGTTGGTTGATAATTTTTTAATACACTGAATACTAAGCATTACGTTATTTTTCTTTTAATAAAGGATATTCATTTCTTTTAGTCGCTTTTGCTTAATTTTTAACAAGATATTTTAGACAATATTAGGCAAAATTGAAATTTTAAGTCGATTTTATTCTCTGCGAATTAAGAATCCTACATCGCAACTCGCATAAATGCAATTAACAAAGCCCCAACTGCTGTTAACATTACATTGACTTTTGATTTAATTCATTACTTCATACGATTTTTAATTTTACTATACATTACTATAGTTTATCAATGGTAAGAACTCCTCATCCCTGCCACAAAGTCTGAGACCGTGTCCTGTTATGGAAACAAGAATAGTGCATTTCAGGGATGGTAGCTTATCTTCACTCTAAGGCTGGTAGATGGAAGAAAAAAGATTCTTCCCTTTCTCTCTTCGACCCGACCCCACACCCCTACTTGAAAAAGTTATACCTCGTTACCATAGTCAGAGCCACAGGCGAATTCTAGACGAATGGCTGAGGGAGTTCTTACTTTAGATAAACTATACCCGACTATACGAATCATGATGCATAGCAATTGGTGCAAACTGAAATTTTCATAGAGCACCCCAAATTAATCTGATTAAAATCGCTATCTGTTTTTACATGATATAAAAAACACGAATCGCGATCCTTATTCACGCCGTTTAAAAAATTCACATTGTGATTCGTATTTACGTGATTTAGAAAAACTTGCATCTCAATTGCATTCAAACGACTTAAATATCACAAAAGGCAATTCGCATTTAAGAGAATTAAAAATCCTTCACTAGGATTCATATTCAAGTTATTTAAAAAAATTCGCACACACATACATAGCGATATATTTCATAGTACTGACAATATTTAATCAATTAATAAGACTAAAAGAGTAGGTTTTGTCTCTAGGTTAATTATAACTTCACGCACAGTTGTAACATTTAAATTCAACGATCATACAGACAGTTACGAAAAATAAGGAAAAAAATTTTTTTTTACTATTTTTGTAAGAATATCATTGTTCAATAATGACCCCTTCACAATTATCCTAAAAGCACACTAATGACGCAAGTCTGAATTAAAAATTATGAAAAGTGGATATTTTATGAAATAATATGGCTTGTAAACTTGATTTTTTTTATTTAAGTTGTTCTTGAAATTTCTTTAAAAAGAAGTATATTAATGAAATTAGTATTATGAATTGTTATTAGAGTCAACCGGCCACTAACTTAATATTTCAATTTTCAGGTTTAGTTGCTCTATATCAGTAAAAAAGTTTCAGAAAGGCATAAAAACAATATTTATAGCACTAAAACGAAAATTTAAAATGTGTCAATTACCTTAAATCTCTCACCTGTGGCTCTAAGATCAAAAGAATAGTTTCTGATTGATTCCTGAAAAAGCCTGCTTTCAAAGCACAATAATATAGATTCTTCTGCTGAAGCCATATATCTAAGTACCCTCTCAGAGAATACTAATCAATAATTATTGCAAAAGGGGGAAGACCTTTTATTAGTCTTATTTTTAATAGACCCTATTAAAAACAATTTTCATCATATTATCAAATAAAAAAATTGAAAATATATAAAAAAAATTAATCATTTTTAATCTTCTAACATTATTTTTATACAGAATTTTTGGATGGAGCAAACATTTGAATTATTGAAAATTTTGCAGTTTCTGAATCCCTCTTTCATTAGAGTAAAAAACCTTTTAATCCATTTTTCCACCTTTGTTTTTGCAAACGCATAGTAAAAATATTGTTTATTAAACATAAGCCAAATTTAAATTTTTTAATACTCCTAAAATAGCTTTTGATAGGAGACAATTATTATCTTTAAATGCAAGAACCATTGAACCGAAGGAATAGGGGTGGGGGATTAAGCCCCCTCACATTTCACAAATGAAGAGACACAGCCCCTTCTAAAATTACAATTTTTCACTCAATATTTATCTAATTAAATTTACAATAAAAAATGCCTCAATTTCAAGCGAGCTTTAACGTTTCCTAAGTGAAAACTATTACCAAAGCATCCCCAACTCACCTCCCCCAAAGGAAATATACATAAACATTGCTGACCTCTGGGGAAAATGAGGTTTCAAATGACACACCAAACAGATACATGGGTGCCACTAAAATAATTTCAAGATTGAACTTATTTTTTGATTAATTAACACAGTCTAGCATTGTTTACCAGAATCTCCATAAATTTACAGCTGACAGCAAAATGCACCTTTCCATGAGAATGACTTGTGTATTAAATCAATAATTTTTTTTTTCAAAAAAAAAAAAAAAAAAAAAAAAAAAAAAAAAAAAAANAAAAAGAAGAAGAATAAATAAATAAACAACATTCATTTTCTATTTTATTACTTTATTTTTTACAGCAAACAAATCAAAAATAAATTGCATCTAACCGTATTTATCTTTTCACACTAATCACCAAGTTAAAATCACTGATATAAACCACGAACTTTTTCTGAAAGCCACTCAATACTCTATTTTTCCTTTCGCCATTATATTTTTTCCCTAACTCTATGAATTTCTTTTCTTTTTTTAAAAATAATGATCCTAATTTAACTTAAGACTAGCATTTCAAAACATCATGGAAAAGTACAAACTAAATCAAATTTATATTGAAAAATAGTACAAATTTTGTTTACACAAGCAAATGTTAAAGTTCAATCCTATTCTTTCACTGCAATGCGAAATTATTTGATCATTTACAATTAATAGCATTTTCATTAAAATGTATTTAATTTTTGTAAATTTCAAAAGAAAATCTTACATTTTTAAAGAAGTAAAAAATATTAATTGAAAAAAGAATTCTGGGAAAGAAATATTAATTAATGGGATTTAGTCCACTGGTTTTTTTTCTCAAGACTGATTTCAGTCCTCAGGACTGAAGAGTGGCACTCATGGAACAGAATAAAAAGTATACCATTAAATGAGAGATAAATTGCTGGCGAGAAATTTCTACTATTAAAACAATTCAATTCTAAAGAGAGAGAGAAGGGGGAAGGAGAGAACCCCATCATCCTCTTGAGATACTTCCGCAGTCACCATCTACATATTTATACAAATTTTTAAAAAAGCTAGCACACTGTTAAACAGTTTGCAAACCTACTGACTCAGGTTTGCGAACTGAGTCAGTATTCTTCCTCGCTGCTTTGCAGCTTAATAGAATAAAGTGGCCACAAAAAATTATCGCCACCACCTCTTTTTGCCATTTGACACCCCATACTATTTAGTTCCTGAAATGTAACTGCATAATGCACATAAAAACACTTTTAATAACTTCTGTTTATTTTTTAATTACACGCTTGACAAGTTGTATGGTAATGAATTTCCTATTAGAAATCTTTAAATAGGCTAAATTTAAGCCCAATGAAATTCAAACTTAACCTTTTTTCAATCTATTTAAATGAAAGGATTTTATTATCGTCTGATATGCTTCAATGATTTTTCTGCCACTTTTTATTGACAGCGTGTTTCAACATCTTTTCAGATGTGGTTAACTTTGTTTTTTAATCTTGACATAAAGTAGAATTAATTATTGATGAAAAGAAATTCCTCAAAAGTGTAGGCTGTTTGATTTTGTTTCTTCGCCAAAAGATGAAAGGAGAATAAAAATGTAGGTGCAGTATTTCATTTCTGGCACACCCTTCCCAGATGACTATAGAGCAGGAAAGGTAATGACAAAAATAATAAATGAACCCTAAAAGAAATATTTCCAAATAAAGTTTATCAATGAAATTTTTTAAAAAATGGGCAATGATTGAAGGATAAAACTTATTTGAACAACTACAAATTAAGAAAGGTAAATAGATTGCAGAAGATGTAAAGAAAGAAAAAATTATTAATGAAAGAATGCAGAGATAAATAAAGCTGAGAACAGCAGTTGCAGAAATTTTAACCTTAATATTCTATTTTTAATGTGCTTAATTTTTCATAATTAGTTTATATTTCATTCTGATACACAAATTTAGAATTGATTACGAGAAAAACAAGCCTATGATATATTCCTTTATTTATTACATTATTTTTCCTTAAAATATGATATAATAATATATAACGTAATATTTTTTATAATATCTTATAATATTAGTAACATATTTTTAAACTAAGAAAAATGTATATTTTTTATCACAATTTAGAAGCAAAATCATTATTTAAGTACTTTAATTTTTAAAAAAATGGCCACCAATAAATTTACCTCTAGTGGGCAGTGAACACCAGATAAATTTCCCAGTCTAGTCGTTTATGACTCAGCACTATAAAATATAAACTAGGAGGATAAAAAATAAAATAGCAAAAAAGCATATAATATACGAATCATGAAACAAAGAAAAAAAAACATATATCATTATTACAAAACTTTGACTCACAAATATTTCTAAATTATTCAAAAAAAATTTAAATAAATGAATATAGCATAAAGCAATGCACAAAGCTGATACAATTTAAATCATTATTTCTTCAACACAAATGTATAATGCTTGTTACCTGGGGCATGCTTGAGAGTGAGGAGGATTAAGTGATTGTCCAGGTCTGCCCAAGATTCGTTTAATCTATAAGTCTATTCAAGTTTGCTACTTAATAATTGGTAGGATTTGAGATATTTTTTGTTTTTGAATTTTTATACAGGTGAGTAGAAATTAAGAAAGTTTAGTCAGCAGTTTGTATTACTAGTCTGTACACATTTTTACAGGTGCATTTAATTACCTCAAACAGATTTTTTTTTTTTTTAAAAAAAAAAGGTTAAAGTTAATTTAAACAAGAAATTACAATACACAGATGTAATGTAACAATTTAGACCAAACATGGTTATTCGAAAACAAAAAACTAAAATAGCATTCTTTACATGTAATGCTGTCTAAAGAGACCATTGATAATTATTTTATGGTTGTCTCAGATCGTTAATTTCAGTCCATGCACATTATCAAAATTATAGTTGCAATTTAATAACTTATTTATAGGTGTAATAATGCTTATTAATGTTACATATTCTTTAGTTTATAATAATTTCCTTAATTATTTGTAACAGGGTTTGTTGATTTAAATCAAATGATTTTTTTTAAAAAAATCATTGATTTAAATCAACTTATTTTTATATATTGTATATATTTTAAGAGTTAAAAAACAATATTTTAAATTATTGATACTTTTATTATTTTCTTTTTTTAGTTTTAAAATTTATTTTAAATAAATTGCTGCATTATTTAATTTTAGCTAACAAAATTACTTTCTTTCTTGGTCTGTGTTACTTCCAACACATTTGAAATTACATTTTTTAAAATCTTTTAATTCTAGAGATTGAAAGTGCAGATAAAAGTAAACATTTAATGCTGTCCTAATATAGACTTGCATAGCTCTAGAAAGTAATTAATAATCATGAATTTTTTTCGAAAAATAATGTTAATTAAAATTCTACCTTTTGAATGAAAAAGCGTAGAATTAAAATCTACATTATATTTTATAGGTGGAAAATGTATATATCTGAAGCTTAAGGTTACATTAAAAAGAAATTACCCTAATATGCCAAAAATAGAAGAAAAAAATGGGCTGATAAATTCAGATGTTTTTTTTTCCTGATATAGTGCCATTCTTCCCTTTCAAACAAAGTCTATTTGAAGCTGTAGGAATATTAACTGGTATTTTTTTCTCATAATATGTTTACAGTATCTTTGACATTATCTGATTTTCTATTAAGAAATTTTGTGGAAAAATATTCCAATGAGCACATAGATTTAAAAAAAAAATGTTTTTAGCTTAACTTATACTTTTAGCTTTGATATAGAATTAAAAATGAATATTTTAATATAAAAATACATAGATTAAATATTTATTTATTTTTTGATGAATGACTACATTTATAAACACAATCTGTTACATTTATTTTGTCATTTTAAAAATCAAGAGGAAAAAAAAAACACATTTTTACATTAAAATTGTGGTTTGCCAATTGAAACTTTGTTTTAATAGTTAAAGTTACAGGGGTCTGTCCAAGCCGAATTTACTACCTTCACAAATTCAACTTTAGGAAAACGGTAGAATAATTTTACAAAATACTTTTTTTTAACATTTTAATTTTGTGTCTCGTAAGAAATGATAAATCCATATTTTTACCATATTTGTGTTGATTTTTTAATATGATTTTTAATTTTCACAAAATAGGTACCAAAAAAATCTAGACAGACCCCTGAAGTATTCTTTAAATTCTCTATTTCATCTAGTCCTTAAATTTCAATCTTGCATTTGTTTATAAATGGTTGCTATGCATTCAAAGCTATGTATTATAATAAAAAATTATTTCAGTAAGATAAAGCTTCTAAAATATTGTTATAATATAATTATAATATTAATTTAATTTTGATTAACCATTTATAAAGTTTTTTTAATCATAAATTAAAATTCTTACAGTGTATTTAAATAAAAATAAAAAAAATTTGATTTAAATAAAAAAAATCCAATTTAAATAAAAAAAATCTGATTTTTTTAAAAAAAATCACGAACCCTGATTTGTAATTTATATCACTTTCAAAACTTCTTCGCAAGAAATTTGAAAATGCAGTTAATAAGCCACTGAGATCCTATGCATATCCCTGTTTGTAAGCTAATGATGAAATCCTTAATAAGAAGATGGAAGCTTTATCTTGCTCTCTGACTTCCTGTATGTAAAAATGTCCAATAATTTTTTTTCCTCTAATGGCTGGCAGCTGGCACTGAACTACTATGTTTTTTGCTTTGGAAGTGTTGCTCATTTATTATTATCCGGTGAGCACCTGCCAACCTAAGTCACGGAGGTGAGTAACATTACCCACAAATCACTGCCCATTCATAGAGAGGGTCATATTCACACAACAGAGAGAGAGGTGCAACCATTGGATTCATCAGGCATCCTAGGTGGCTATTTTCAACAATAAATTTAAGTATTTATGAACGTTAAGAAATATCATACAATTTAGAAAGACCATGAATATGGTATAAGTTTGTTTCTTTTTTTGCTATGAGCATTCATTTTTAAAATTTATTTAATGTGGACAAGAGCATCATCAGCTCAATATTAAACAAGGAAAAAATTTAATTTACTAAATGAAGTTCCGATTTTGCTGAATCCATATATCTTTAAACGAAATTAATATTAAACTGTTTAGTTTCTCATGTAATGTGGAAAAATTGGAAAGCGTCCCTTTCTTCCAGTTATCCCTGAAAAGTTGGGGAACATTTTAGACCGGGGCATTTCAGACAGACCCCGTGAAAAGGCTGTGACAGAATTTAGACTTGAGGTGGGTCATGACTGTCTTGCGCACCACCTCCACTGCATTGGTATTTTTACAAGCCCGAATCGCCCACTCTGTAGGAAATTCGAAGTAATGGATAGGAAGCACTTGATGGGATGTTCGGCTGTACACGGAGACTCCGAAGTGGATATTGGAGGGCTAGGCATCTGCTAATGAGTCATTGACTTTCTCCCCTTATCTATCTGATTTGCATATATTCTACTTGTTAAGAGTTTGTCAATTTCTGACATTGGAAATAAATTTTTAAAAAATTTAAAAAAAGTTTCTCATGTCACCACTTTAAATAAATTTTATTTTTTATTGCTATTTTATATTTGCTAGACACTTATCTTTGGCACCTGTGAAAGAAATCTTTAATAAGAGTAGTTTAATTGACTTAATAAAAATGTTTGACTACATTTAAAACTATCACTATTGGCCGAATGTCAGAATACATTTCTAAAAATTATTCAATAGTAAAAATTGGGAAAGGGTAACAGTAACACCTAGAGATCACAAATATGAAATCTTAATATTATATTAAATATATTGTCAATACAAACCATTGTTGGCAAGATTTTGCCGCAGGTGGAAAAAACCATGGTANCACTATTGGCCGAATGTCAGAATACATTTCTAAAAATTATTCAATAGTAAAAATTGGGAAAGGGTAACAGTAACACCTAGAGATCCCAAATATGAATTATATTATATTAAATATAATCTTAATATTATATTAAATATATTGTCAATACAAACAATGAAAGAAGTAAAAAAACACATAACATGTAATATTGTTCAATTGAAATAATTTCATTTTTCCCCCGATAAAAAGGTTAATAGAGAAACTTTTCACCTGCCTTAAATATCATTTTACAGAAATGCAAATTGTTAAATTTATATAATTATCTGCTTTTACTTTGTTAAATTGTAATTTAATAGATAATTGATTGTTACCGTTGGTAGAATCAATATAATTTTTAAATATAAATGCATATGAGAATTCAGTTAATACACATTATACAGTATAATAAAATGTTTTACTCCTTTTTACATCTTAATGTATAAAATACAAAATATTATTTTCATATATGTTCTCAATTTAAACAAAACAATTTGAAACTAAAATATAAAGTACAAGTAACTATCATTAAAATCATCTTATAATCAGTAGAAGCAAATAATTCTACCACAAGTCTCTGCATCACAATTGGATTTAATATAGGCTAAAGCTATTTAGAATAAACATTTGAAAGTCACCTGTATCTCTGAAATAGTCTTGTTACACGCAAAAAGTTTAATGCTGCTGTATTCTGCACTTTTACAAACTTTATATTTTTTGATGTAAAAACATTATTTTCATTACTAAATGCCTTTTTTGCAACTTGGAGACTTTTATGCATTGTTGGATCTGCAGTTTTTTCTGCCATATTTTCTTCAGGCACTTTGAGCAAATTTATTTTGTTATCTGTGTTTTGAATTTGGGACTGCCCAAGTTCCATTTTGCTATCAGCATTGTGTTTTGTTTCAAAAGTAGTTTTAATTTTTTCACGCCTTCTAGATTGAGTAGAAGTAAAAACATTATTTTCATTACTAAATGCCTTTTTAGCAACTTGGAGACTTTTATATATTGCTTGATCTACAGTTTTTTCTGCCACATTTTTTTCAGGCACTTTGAGCAAAGTTATTTTGTTATCTGTGTTTTGAATTTGGGACAGTTCAAGTTCCATTTTGCCATCAGCATTCTGTTTTGTTTCAAAAGTAGTTTTAATTCTTTCACACCTTCTAGAGTGAGTTTTTAGCATTTCATTTGATTTAAAACATGTATTGCAATCTTCACACATATAAGGTTTCTCTCCAGTGTGCTCTCTCATATGATACTTTAAGTTAGACATTGTTTTATACTTTTTGTCACACATAGTACAAGCAAATTTTTTCACTCCACTGTGGGCATCCATATGTGCAACAAATGCAGCTCTGTTAAGAAAAGATCGAGGACAAATTTCACACTGAAATGACCTGCATTCTTTGTGAACTGCAGTTTTGTGCAACTTGACAGAATATTTAGTAGTAAATCTTTTTTTACAAATATCACAAGGAAAAAGCTCTCTTCTACTAGAGTGGATTGCACGTTTATGCCTAGATATGTATTCTTTTCTTTTAAAATGTAATTGACATATGTCACATTCATACCAGTTCTTAGAATGAACAATAGAATGGCTTTCCAGACGTCTTGCTGATTTAAATTCCTTGTTACACACTGTACAGATATGCACACCACCATCCTCAAGATATCTAGATTTATATTTTTCAATTAAATATTCAAATTGTTTGAATTCTTCAAATGTCTTATGATGTGCTAGATAAGTTTGACTGCTATAATGATATTCCAGTCCACTTTTTTGGCGAAAACTTTTATTACACATTTCACACTTATAAGGTTTTTCCTCCGTGTGAGTAATCATATGAAGTTTAAGATTAGTAAACATTTTAAATCGCATTTGGCAAAACTCACACTGAAAATTTTTTTCAAGTGTTAAATATTTACGATGTGACCGTAACCTAGTTTTAGATGAGAATTTCATGTTGCAATGATCACAAGAAATAGGTTTTTCATTGGAATGTACACTTCCATGTCTACGCAGATCACTTGATCTTTTAAACCATTTCTGGCATATTCCACAAACGTGGCCCTTAAACGATCTTTCAGCATTTGGAGGACACGGATTTTGAGGCTCTACTATTTTCTTTGCTTCCATCCGTAATGTTTTAAAGCTAATTTTCAATTTAATAACGTTGAAATAAATAAAACTAGAACTGATATATAAAGCATTTAGTTTGCCCGTTGTTTACAGCCTATTTCTGTCCCGTCTTAGAATGGTTGAATGAAAACAATGGCTTAACTTGACTGTAACCGTTGGTGCAACATTTAAGTTACGGATCCAGTTCAGCCTCGTCCTCACCTCCGATTGCAGTCGAGAGGAAAAAAATCTGATTGGTAAGTTCTACACCATAGAATATATCACCAATCAGGTTATCATATTTCTTTGAAATAGATCAATGGCCCATGATTGAGTGGGAATAGCCTTTAAATGAGATTTAGACAGTATTCCAAAGAGCCAATCACATTGCATGCGAAAAGTTCTTGTGTATACTAATTCGAAATTGCGAGCAAGAACATGATTTGTGTAATAAATTTCCCCACTAAACTCTAACTCCTTCGTAGCTCTAAATTCGCATAAAGTGTAAATGATCCCGTACACACTTGCTCCATGTCTAGAACCTTCCTCTCTCTCACTTTTTGATTAATTTAAAATTTACACAACCGGCTTTCTCCATCTGGGGAGAAGTGTTGCCCTTGCCCCTTCCTCTTTTCAGTTGTATAGAAATGTACTACGATATTTTTCCTTTTCCTTATATTTTTCATATTTAATTGTAAAAAATTCTTTTTTTTAAATTTCCACGATTCTTTCTTTTAGAACAATGTTCAATGCAGAGTTTCCAATTTTTCCTATTTATTAAACACTGTTTACTAGTTTCATTTTTACTCATCATTTAGAAAGAAAAGCATAAAAACAATACTCAAAGTACAAGAATCTAAATTCAAAATGTGTCAACTACCTTAAATCTCATACTTGTGGCTCTAAGGCCAAAAGAATAGTTTCGATCCCTGAAAAAACCTGCCGTCAAAGCACAATAAAATAGATTCTCATGCGGAAGACGTATGTCTAAGCCCTCTCTAAGGGAATACTAATCAATAGTTAATTCAGTAGGGGAAGAACCTGATATTTATTTTGTTTTAGTAGACCCCTGGGGAACAATTTACATATTTTTTTTACAAGAAATCAGATAAAAAATTGAAAATATACAAAATAATACTCCAATCATTCCTATAAACTATATTCCTGTGACATTTTTATGCAGAATTCTTTCACAGAGCAAAACATTTTCAATATTGAAAATTTAACAAGTTGAAATTTTTTATGTTAGTTTTCCAGACTCAATAGTGATGCACTTTTTTACAACAGTCTAATGTCAGTTCAAATTATTTTTTCTTTAAATCTTTGCTAATCTAACCACTAAAAAAATGTGCAGTTTTTGAATAACTCTTTCATTTCAGTTAAAAAGCTTAATAAGTATTTTTTTATTTTTGCAAATGTATGGTAAAAGTATTGCTTATTACATATTAGCCGATTCTTTGCCTCAGAAGTATTGTTCATTTACAAAACCTGGTAGACACCTGTCACGGAGGCGAGTAACATAACTCATGCCGCAGATTCATAGAGTGGGTCACATTCACTCAACAGAGTAGAAACAGAGAAAGAGAGACAATCAACCATTGAATTTGCAGTTATCTACTCTGGCTAGCTCTTTTCAATAATAAATTTCAGCATTTATGAACAGTAAGGAAACTTGAACAAGTTAGAAATACAATAAATATCATACTGTTTTTTTCCCTCCATAAATATTTAAAAGAAAAACCAATAAATACAGTCAACCCCGCTTAAAGGAATAGTTCGGTTTCAGACAAATCTATGTAATTAAGCGGGTTATTCGATTGAAAGGGGAGTGCTATATTCAATCTTAAATTCTAAATTTTTACTTTTTAATGCGTAGTCCGAGCCGGATTATACCTTTCGTAGGCCCTAGGCATAGCCGTTTTTGGGCCCTCCCCTCCTTCCCTCTTTTAAAAATATATGCTAAAATTTTTTTGCATATTTTTTTTTTTACATTTTTATTAATATGGATTTTAATTTACAAATTAGTTTATCGAACTTTAACTGCAATACCGACATACTGCCGATATTGCAGTTGATATCGATAATACCATTATGATTAGTTAAATTTGGTGAAAATTTACTCATCCGATTTAGAGGAAAACTTTGCAGATGAATTTTTACTATTTTCAAATTTGTATGAACATAAATCTGCACAAGAAATGTTGAAGGCTCAAATTAAAGATAAACTTGTGAATACTTTTCCTAACGTTCACATTGCATTAAGAATATATTTGTCGATTCTTGGATTAAATGCAGAAGGAGAAAGATCTTTCTCCAGATTAAAATTGATAAAAAATTATTTGCGTTCAACAATGAATCAAGATTGTTTGGCATCGCTCGCACTTATGTCTATTGAATACGACATTTTGCGTAGTTTGGAATTCGACAGCATAATACAAGATTTCGTTGAATCCAAAAATCGCAAAAAAGTAATATATTAGATCATAAGATTCTGCAAAATAATTTATTACAGAAAAATATTATATTTTTATTTGTATCTTCATAATTTTGTGCAATATACACTTGTTGCTAAATTATTCTTAAAGCTAAATTATTTTTGTCAACAAATTTTTTTCTCCCAAGTTTTTCGTAGGCCCTAGGCACGTGCCTATAAGTTAATCCGGCCCTGTGCGTAGTGTAGCGTTTTGATTAAATAAACTCAGTTTTATGATCAATAAATAATTATAATTAAAACTTTCTGCCTTAGTATCATAAATAAATATCATTTAAAGTTACATAAAAATAAATCAATGTTAATGAATCATGTTGGAACTAAAATATTATTTGATCCCATCCGAAAAATTCTATAGTTGAAGACTGTTCTTTGTACCCGTTTAATTCGTCAATTTATCAAAATTAGATTTTCCCTTTTAGTTTCTACTAAAATTTTCATGACTTGCGCACATTCCTTTCAAACACATTCAGAATTTTTTATTTTTTTTAAATCTTCGAAACTAGAGAAATTCCTAATTAATGCGCTACTTCATTTGGAATTTTTTAATTCTAAGATTCATTGTTTTTTTTTCAATTAATTTAAATCATTCTTTTAGCTCTCAAATTGCAACCAACTCAAAATTATTCACAGGATTAAGCAATTATTCTACTTAAGAAAAAACATTCTTTACACTAGTGTATTAGGTTTTTAAAACTTAATAATGTATCAAGAGGGGACCACAAGTCTTGACCTAAAAACAAATCACTCTATCCCTTTTTCACATACTAAATGATGTCTGAGTGAAGTAAGTCAAAGAGGGGTAAAACACCCTTCGTTTACTCCAATGTATAACTGGTAGCAAAGATTTGATTAATTTTTCAACTTCATCCCAAACACCTACTAATGAATACGAAGTCCCTATTGAAATTACCATCTTGTATCCTTATCATAAAAAGAGAAATTGTAATTTAGCTGGTGAAACATTTCTAAAAAAAAAAATTTTTTTTTCATTTCAGTATTTCCTTACGCAATTAAGCGGGGCAAAAAACAACAAATGGGGAAATTTAACATTAGTTTAATATAAAATGATTTGGTTCCATTAAATTTTATTCGATTATCCGAGGGGCGATTAAGTGGGGACGACTGTATTAGTCTTTCAGTGAACTGACCGTAAAGACAGAGAACTCCGAAGTTCAGCATAACTGGCTGCGGTCAGCAAGCGGGTGGGCGACCAATTTGATCAGCCCGTGTAGGAAGCGAGGGTGGGCAGTATTGGTCTTTGTTAAACTGTTTTACCGTAAAGTGTTTGACTTTATATGCTGGTCGTCGGGCTACCAAAGCAGAGAAGCCATCCCCTCGGCAAATGATCAAAATTGCTATGGCGTGTCTTCGGATCATCCTCAGGGATGTTTCCCAGACTGTTGCCTGTAGCCCATTGTGCAGCTCTAAGGCGACATATATAAAGTACCTACCTACCTATAAATATTAATTTTAAAAACTGATAAGATATGGGCAAGCATTATGAGCTTATATTAAACTGGGAAAAATTCAAGTTACTAAATGAAGTTCTGATTTTACTGAATCATAACTAGGACTGGGCGATATTAGAAATTATATATCGTGATGCATCGTCAGTTTTACATCGCGATATAGTGATGTATCGCGATATAGTATTTTTTAATTTCATTTACTTGTAAGGCACAGAAAGTCAGATTTCTATCAAAACTTCATACTCAGATTGATTTAAATCAATTTATAAATTTGAAGATATATATGTTTTGCTTAAGAAAGATATTAAATAAATTGACTACAATGTTCAAATCTTACTTAAAATATTTATTGAAATGTTTATTTAGAAATTCATAATACGCGTAAAACAAAGTGTTAAGAATTTCTTTAAAGCGTTTTTTACAAATTAATATTTTCTTGTACTATTATGCATAAATAATTACATAATTATTAAGTTCGATC